GAACTTTATGTGGACCGGTTTCCAAGCAACACATACCAGAATCCGTTATTATTTCAGAGATCGTGGCTTCCGCATCATCACAATATAACATACAAGTGCCTGATTTTACGCTACCGGAAATCCTTCGTAGTGGATGATTCCGGCTCAGTTCAAATCAGTCGGAAATTTAGAATGGAACATGCGATTAGATGACAACGTTCACTTGGATGAAAACAACACTGTCATGGTGTAAAATAAATGAAGCATTATTTTGATTAAGTAATAAAATTGTATTTGACACAACGGTTAAGGTGGATTTCGCTTGGAACACTTGACAGTGGCAGAGCGCAATTATTATGGGATTATTGCTCACATCAAGAACATTCTGACATTAAGGTTTGCAGATTTTTCTCACCAGAAATCACTTGCGAACTTTCTTTTCTGCCGAGAAATCCGACCGTAAATAAATAGGCAGAAATTTCGCTGTCAAAAAAAATAACAAACAAAGTCCTTGCATCCATTCGTCTGTATACGCGGAAACCCTTGTAGAAAGCAGCAACACAGAACCGCTCCACTGGCTAAATCGTTTCTAATGATGACAAACTTATCAAAAGTCTCTAGATTTAAATGGAACTGCAATGACCTTAAATCTATTAACACTAGATGTGAAAAAACGAAGTGTTCGATTTTTTCTCAATTTCATTTCATTTACATTTTCATTCGATTTAATTTTCACTCGTCTCGACCAACAACCGTAAAAACTAGCCGTTTGGTTGTACCAAGTGACACTCTATTCAACTGATCTCATCTGTGACTTCGCCATTCTATTCAATTGCACAAACTGAAAGCGCATATTTAAAACTTTTCTGACTTAAACATTCAGGGAAATTTTTTGTGATGTTTGACGTCTTCACGTATAAACTCACCATACGTGCTCAATGCCATTGATCGTCGTGCTAATTAGTATTATTGGAAGGTCGTTCATTCATGGAAACACGTCGAATTTTGAATGGAACTCATGAAAACAAACGTAATAGAAAGGTGACGATTAATTGCAATTGCAATTAGGGTTTCCTGAGAAAGTTATTCAACTCTNAAACATTCAGGGAAATTTTTTGTGATGTTTGACGTCTTCACGTACAAACCCACCATACATGCTCAATGACATTGATCGTCGTGCTAATTAGTATTATTGGAACGTCGTTCATTCATGGAAACATGTCGACTTTTGAATGGAACTCATGAAAACAAACGTAACAGTAAGGTGACGATTAATTGCAATTGCAATTAGGGTTTCCTGAGAAAGTTATTCAACTCTTCTAAGGATAAGCAATTTCTTGTGCAATGTCAACTGCTCAACTGAATACAATGCCATGGTGTTTTTAAAGAATCTCTTCGTTCATTTCAATTGTTCGCTGAAGTAAATTCAATTAGTACTAAACAATGCCACTGAAATAAATGAATACAACCAAGTAAATTAGTACTAAGTAATGCCATGAGTGTTCAAATAAGCACATTCAATTTCCTTCACCGAATCTCTTCGATGAATGCAACTTTAGTTTGGTTTGGTTCATACAGTTTTCATGTGAACAGTTCTTTTGAAAATGATATCAACTTGCGTGATTGTTCGCGTCAGAACGCAACATTGTAGACTTTGAAAAGGAGAATATGGGAAATTTCGTGTCAGCACTTGAATAGATTGATGGCGATTTCTAAAAATCGACAGGAAATTCCGGTCTCGCAATGGAAAAATGTATAAATGTATAGTCAATCGAGCATGATTATATCAAATTTTATTGACGAAAGAAAGCGTTTAGCGGTTAACGGAAAGTGCACTGGGACTAGTGCGTTGCGAGGAACGGGGAATTAGGGGTCCCCGTCCCCTCTCCAACATTTTTGAAGACGACCTTGCTTTGGAGGTCTCCACCTGCAAAATTCCACCGTCAACTTTTTTACTTCCCCGCATGTACTAGCTGTACACACTATCTACAAAGCGCAGTAAGTGAGTTAATAGCCTCAAAGGAGGCCGCACTGCTGACGATACAGGATCGAATGAGATCAATCATGCTGATGGAATGAACTGAAAGTTCAAACGTGGCAGATTGTAAGTGAGATACATTGAGAAAATCAGCTATTTCTCTGAAAGTGAGCATAATTGCCCGAAAACATATATAATTTTCGGAAACTTGAGAATCTGGAAAATCTGATGATATGAAGAAATCACCATGTTGCTGGGCAAATCTGAGAACACCGACGGTTTGAAGATGGTGACCGTGACACTGCTTGTAAGCTAATGTACGTATTGATCAACAGAGATACACTGCATTGAAATGAGCGCTGCCGAGCAATTGAGATACCTTCAGAAAATCAGCTATTTCTGTAAATTTAAGCAAAATCGCCCGACTATATATATGATTTTCAGAAAGTAGAGAATCTAGGAAATCTGATAGTGGGAAGATATCACCATATTGCTGGGCAAACTTGAGAACACCGATAGTTTAAAGATGGTGGCTCTGATACGGCCATGCTAATGTACAATATAATTACAGAGATTTTCTTGTCCAAGCCTGCTCCCTTTCTATATTCTTGTTTCATTGCATTCAAATGACTGCAATCGTATTTTAGCCACAACTGACTGCGGTTTATTATCGCTTGTTTGTCGAGCTGCCCAAAATTCGTCTTCAATCAATACAAACGATTCCTTGGAGACTTCTGATGACAATACTCTCGTTAGGTTAGCAAAATCAAAATCAGCACATGCACTTCAGAAGGTGATTTGCTAATATTGGCTAATGTACACAAACTTAATGCGTTCCTTCAAGAAGTATTGTAGTCGATTGTGGCAAACAAATGATTATGTAAATAAGTGATGAATAATATGCATGATTATGTAAATGATGAATAATATAAAATCAACAGAAAGTTTTTTTTGTTGATTTACTCTGTGATTGCTTTGCCAAATCATTCATCAAAATTCAACTGCTGATCGCTCGTATCGATTGATTGATCATCATCCAGCACCACCAACTCGATCGTTATTCATCATCGATCGTCGTTACAATCGTCCTTGCTGACAATTCATTCGTTTCAATTCTTTCATAACATTTTCTTCATGATGATTGTAAAGCGTGTGCATCATTCACTGACATTTTTCGAAGTTTCTTTTTGGATAAACATTTTGTTTTATGTTGAAGAATGTTATTTTTATTCTCAATGTGAAGTTGTTTTGGTATCATTAAACTTTTCGTTGAAAGGTGTTAGCATTAAACTTCCTTCTCACTGGAGAAGTTTTCTGTCTTTACGCTGAGAACACTTTTCACAGGATTCACGCCTGTGGATGATCCACTTACACATTACATTTTCAGTGAGTTTAGCTATTGCACGTCATTTTTCTGAGTCCGTTTAAAATGAAACTTTTTCCATTGCTCATGGCATTTCCTTTATACTCCTCTGAGGAGACTTGCGAGATATTGCAATGTTTCATTGGAAGAAGCAATTAGTTTCATGTGTACGAACAGTGACACTCATCAAAGTATTGACTTCAGTTCATCCAATTGTTTTATTAAGCCAAGTCATTATTTGTTGATTCCGTTCGTGTTGCATTTCGTTGTCGCCTATGGAAACAACAAATTTTCTCAATTAAGCAAATGCTTAGCTTGTTACACTGCATTCAGAGAGGTTAGCGAAATGTAAGCAGCAAGTTGTTCGGTGTTGTTGTCATTGATTTGCGTTCGTAAATTTGAAAACAAACGCGATTTTTTCGTGGACAAATTGAAATTCTTATTGTTTACTATTTGGATTTTCGTCGTCCGGTTTGTCATTCACTCGATGCTAACGCTTTCTCAATAAGGGGCACTGATTTTGATCGAGTATGTGTATTCCATGAGACGTATTGTTGTTTTCTTAGAATGAAGTTCTACGCATTTTTTAGCCACCTCTCAATCAAGATTTTCGCTCATTCATCTTGCCTATGAACAATTTTTTGTGTGGAACCACTTATTTTATGATATTTCTTTTCGAGTTACTATGTTCTTGTCAACTATTCAATAGCAAATACTCCTACAGAAGGACGACTGAATTAAACGCATAATGTAATTACTATCATTCGAAACTGTTTTCATTCAGTTCATCATTCTACCACTCAATAACGTTCCGTCAACAAAATTTTAGAATTGAATTCCGTTTTTTTAGCTCGTCTTTGGAACCTGTATTTGGACGTGCTTACAATATTTGTGGATCAAAAACCATCTTACAATCGTTTTTGTTGGCTTGTTTCAATTTGGTCACAGTCAACCTGAACTGTTCCATGAGTAGGTTCCATCTTCAGCGCATTCTCATAAATACGATCAAACTCGATGCGACAAATTATTTTTGGATCATATCGGACGTTGATGTGTTTAGATAGTTTTCTCGATAAGATAGTTTGTGTTAATCATGTGCGGTCGAAGCATTTTGAATTTCTTCTCAATTCCTACTAGAGTTTACCTTTACAAACATGAATAGTTCAACTGTTTGTTTAGGTTCGATGTACTGAACTGCGCAGTTTTTCTTTCTGTTAAAAGAAAAAAAAAGCATTTTTATTGAACAACTCTAAACGAAATATCCTGTCTGAAAAAATCGCAAGGTGAATCGCAAGGAGAAATAACTTCACATTACTGAATTACGATCGAATTGACAGAATTTGTAAAGCATTCGTTGACATTATTATTGAATCAGATGGTAAACTCAGTTACATACCCATGATATCATGTTGATGTTTTTGTGCGTTTGACAACAGANTTCCGTCAACAAAATTTTAGAATTGAATTCCGTTTTTTTAGCTCGTCTTTGGAACCTGTATTTGGACGTGCTTACAATATTTGTGGATNGAAGCTTGTTTTGGTGAGTGTGCCGTAACTGATTATGATTGATTATATAACAGCTCGTTTGATAATTGCTATAATTTGATAATAGCTCTTATCAGCTGTAATCAGTGTTTGGCGCTTCTTGATCACTTTCGATTTCAAATTCAAGGAGAGAATATGCGTATTGTATTCGTGCTATTGTTCACATTGAATGGCTTCGTGTTAGGCAAAGAATGGACGGCAAGCAATATGCCAGATCCGCGGGATAAAAGCGGCTACATGAAGTGTAACATGAAGTCGTTGAGCAAGGTGTGCGATCCAGACGAGGTATGGCCAAATATCCTGGACAATCTTTGACATTCCTTCAGGCATTAGATGAATTCAATCCTGAAATCGTGATCTGATTTGTTGACTACTCCTCATCCCAGTACCATAAAGTTTGAGTGAGTCTTGCTATGCAAAACTATTTCACTATGGCGTTGAGCAAGATGTAAACACACATTTCTACACGTTTCAAGCAGTGTGCTTGGAATGTTGGTTCATTCTTATTTCCAACAATGTTGTGGCCCTTTTCTCCGTTTATGAATATTAAGCAAAATTTCTGCTTGTTTCATAAAATGCCCAAGCTGGCCTAATGTTCATCCGATTCAGGTGCTATCATCAACGGATCGTTATCGTATCAACCACGAAGTGAATCAATTAGCTCAACGCACAACGCATTCGGGTGGAAACTTCTGTCAAACCAAAGGAATTGAGTCCATTTTAGTGGCTGTGCAATCGGTAAGCAATCCTAAATGCATAAATTCAGTTCATGTGCACAAATGAATTTCTCTCCTTCATTTTTTCCCCATATCTGCGGAATAAAAAATCAGAAGCGACATCAGAATACAAACACAACTGCTGCCTCATTGGTAATGCAATCTCTTCCACTAGATTAGTCCGTCTTCATCTTCATTCAATGCATAAGATCGCCATTTTGAGTGGAGACTCATCAATAATTCAAAGCATGTTGTTTGAAAATCCGGAGGAAATCTTTATGGAGCAACAAAAATGTTTTGCTTCGATCGGACAATAATAGCCACTGTAAATCGAAAGCATAGCTAGGGAACCACATAGAAAGTTATGTGAGGGAACTCTTCAGTAATCAAGCTACCATTGTTCTCTGAACTCGGATTTGTCAGTGTGGAATATCTTTCGAGATTACAATCCCAGGTCACTAATATCAA